GTTTGCCCACGGCTGGTTTAGAACTACTTCTTTAAAGAAAATGGCAAATGAACTCTTAGATATGAAGTTTGTGTAGCAAATTTATGTATTTAAACAAAGCCCAAATTGAGTTACTTATTGGTAAATGAGAATGTTTTGTCAGTTTAACCCTTCCAGATTCTTTCCATTATTTTAATTACATCTGATTAGTTAATTTTGAAAAGGGCATAATTTTAATACTTCTTGAATTGAATGATTACTTATGGAATAGGTGATCAAGCTTAGCTAGAAGTAGTTTTATTTTCCCTACCAAAATAAAACTGTCCTCCGCATCATTTTTATTATTACAATATAATAAATTATAGCAACTTTACTCATCATTTTGAGTGTAATAAAATAGAACAAAAACTAAGGTGACTGGTTTAATGAAATAGAATAAATAATTTAGAAAACAGAGATTTTTCAAATGTCACAGCAACTGAGTGCTATTGTTATATTTATTCAGGGGAATATGTTGTTAGGCTAAAGCTTCTGGAACAAACTATTAACATTCCTAAAGTTCAGCAGATACAATTAACTTGTTATTTCTTATTATAAGTGAAGTGTGAGGCTAATGATTAGCAGTCGTTAATATTCCTGTATTGAAACAAATTTGCAGTAACATTCCACTCTAGGAAGAGTTCTGTGAGGCACCACCCATCTCCCATCTGACCTATTTCTCCTCCACTGCTAGCCACATGAGCAATTTTCTCAAATTAAAGTTGGTCTCTCAAATCATACCTCTGACTATATCTCTTCTCCTCCAAAATCTGAGTCTATAAAAATGTGATCTGTTCTACAAATCCCAGATGAATGCCAGAATTCCTCACTAGAAGTCGTACACTAGATTTTGAATTATTCTACTAATCATTTTTGGAGTCAAATGCTATTGTCATATTATTTCCTGTCTTGTAGTGCATACACAATTTCTTACATCAGAGGTCAATTTTGGAAGGGATGAGTTGAAAGAGTAAGGAAAAAAGCTACAAAGTTTTGAGAGTCTGCTACTTGGCTGGATCTGAACAGGCCTGCTATTTCATTTCATCTTAATCTGATGTAAGTTTAGCTATCCTGTTATGGATTAAAAACAACCGAATTAATTAATGACTTGCCAAGGTCACACAACTAGTGACAGGAAGAGTCATGATTCAAATTTGTCCCTGATTATGAAGTTCGTGAACTTTGTACCACTTCCTATTGAAGGGGGTATACTTTTATATTGAATTTTATCTTTCACATTTCTTTATTTATTCACATGAACTGATTTATTAAGCATTTCAACTCTGTAATATGTAAAAAATAAACATTTAAAATTTTTTCTTCCAACCATTGTCTTCAACTATGTTATGTCTAATCTTTTCGTTTGTTTTTCCCCTCTGTAATACCATCATGAGAAATTCTCATTGGTTTCAGGTCACTTTCAGGTACTAAATTTAACCAAGCCAATCTAGTTCCATTAAAAACTTCGGTTAGATGTAGATTCTGACTCTTTCCCTTTGCTTTTCCACTTACTCAAGGAGACAACCAATTAACAACAGCTAACCTACTACATAAGAGAACAGAGGGCATTTAAATGAGGAATGACATGGCAGTCTCTCCTTCCTGTCTATACCCAGGCAATATGTCTGCTGGTTGCCAAAAAATGTGGTGTGAGGGATTAACCCATTACCATAAACTTTGTACTTTCTACTACTCCTGCCTTGAGAAATTCCTTTGGTTTTACAGAGCTATGTTTATATGGACTTGAGGAGAGGAAGACCTAGGGCCAGGTTAGGAGGTAGCAAGTTTGGCCACTTTATTTAGAGACTTGGAGAAGGTGCCTCTCAATACCAGAAGGATTTTCAGTTATCAGCCCCTTTCATTTTAGTAGTCAGTTCTGAGGCCTCTAATATCTGTCTGTAGTGATGTTTATAGAGCGATTACTCTTCAATATCATATAATCCCCATTACCCAAAAACAGAGGGCACAGCAGTAAATGAGACACTGAGTATGGAATTTTGAACATAGTGAATAATTAATAAATACGTACTGAAGAATGAGAGTACCAGGGTAAGAGACATAAATATAATAATTATGAATAATGTTGAACTGTTCATTGTTTCCTCATATACACAGGAAAGCAGCCAAAAGGTGGAGACAAAGAAACATGTCACAGATGAAAGAAATGGAAGCAAGCAAACTACTGGATACAGAGTTCAAAACCATGGTTATTATGTTACTTAAGGATCTTAAGGAGAGCTTCAAGGGACTTAGTGAGACTTTCAAGGATCTTTGTGAGAACATCAAAGACATGAAAAAGGAGCAGTCAGAAATTAAGCACACACTAACTGAAATAAAGAATAATGTCCAGATATTCAACAGTAGACTTAGAGAATTCCAAGAATCAAATCAACAATTCAGAATATGAGGGAGCAAAAAACACCCAATCAGAAGAGCAAAAAGAGTCCAAAAATATGAGGCTAATGTAAGGAGCCTCTGAGACAACTTCAAGCTTACCAACATTCACATTATAGCTGTGCCAGAAGGAGAAGAGAGAGCAAGATATTGAAAACTTGTTTGAAGAAATAATGACAGAAAAGTTCTCCTACCTGAAAGAAAGAGACTTACAAGTCCAGGAAGTGCAGAGAGTCCCAAACAAGAGGTACTCAAAGAGACCCACACCAAACACATCATAACTAAAATGCCAAGGGTTAAAGACAGAGAGAGACTCTTAAAAGCATCAAGAGAAAGGCAGTCAGTTACCTACAAGGGAGCGCCCATATGACTGAGTGCTATGAGAACCTTCAGTGTCATTAAAGGCAATATGTGATTAGTATTTCTAGCCCCCAGGCCCCTCAGATGATCCAGGGAACCCTGTGGACTCCAAGAAGGGGTCTGGGGGCCCACACCTCAGGGGTCCCATTTTTCCTGGGGTTTACTAGTATGCCCCCCCCCCACCATTCCTCAGACATACAAACTTCTATGAGCACACATGCAACATAAGTCCTGGCTCCTTTTCTGAGGTAAAGCCTGGTGCTCCATGCAAAAAATACTAGTAGCTACAAATAGTATGGACTGTGCTTTCACAACATGGTTCTCTTTATGTGCTCCAAACTCTCAAACCATGCTATCAAAACATAATAAACATGTGAAAAAGAATTCTCCCTGTTATTCTAGTAAACTATTTTATACAAAAAACTATAGGCTCGGTGCATGAAATTCGTGCACAGGTGAGGGGTGTCCCTGAACCCGTCTTGCACCCTCTCCAATCTGGGACCCCTTGGGGGATGTCCGACTGCCCGATCCTGCAGGGATCAGTCCTAAACCGGCAGTCAGACATCCCTCTCACAATCTGGGTCTGCTGGCTCCTAACCACTCGCCTGCCTGCCTGCCTTCCTGATTGCCCCTAACTGCCCTCCCCTGTTGGCCTGATCACCTACAACTGCCCATCCCTGCTGTGACCCGCCTCCTCTGGGCAAGGCAGTGGAGACTCCGGGACCGGCCTCCTCTGTGCCGTGCAGAGCCTCGGGATCCTCAGGCCTTACTGCATGGAGTGGCTGCTGGGCCCCACCTCTGCGGTGCACACAGCCATCTTGTGGTGGCCATCTTGTGACAGCATCACACGAGGGTGTTGCACAAGGGCGTGATGCCACCTAGGCTTTTATTATATAGGATAGATAAAAGATATCTATAAGCATCAGTTCTGACCCAAGTTCTCACCTAGAGGCTTTTCTCTCCAATTTTACACATTACGTATCACTTAATGCATAGCAAACGCTATACTCACTCAGCAAGACTGAAATGTCCATTTATTTTAAAGTTGTGGAGACTTTAAAATATGTTAATAAACTTTTTTCTTTTAAAAAATAACTAAAACAAGAAAAGATTTCTCCTCTAATGCATTTTTCAGAATTTTCTTTCTTTTGTGTGAAAACACTCTTTCAGAATGATTCAGTAAGGCTGTCACTGCTGAATTTATGATACTGTAATTATTTGTCATTTATTATTTACAGACTGCATTCATTGTACAAAGCCCACAAAACAGGAAATGAATAGGGCCAGGATTTTTTAAATAGCTCCTAGGAAATGAGTGGCACTAGAAAAATACTTGACTACTTAATTATATTAACAATCTGAAATTATAGGAATATGAAATTCAGTAAAAATTATCTACTTTCATGTTGTTGTTTTCTTACTTTGAGTAGAGGAGAAGTAGTAATTCTACATAAATACTGTATTTACTTAATTCTATGATACATTGAAGACATGGCAAGTCTTGACAAATAACAGCTTCCCAAACTCTATGCTGTCTATGTATACACACAAAAAGCATTTTTTACCATTTCAATAGCACATCTTTATGCACAAAATTATATATCACTTTTCTTTTTACACTCTGTATTCAAGTCTGAGTCAAAGCTTCCTCACACCCAGAATCCACTGTCCAAACAATGTAGCCATTAGCAATAATGCTTATGATCCCAGGGATGCACAGCTATTCATGAAGCTTATTAGTCATTTTGACCTCTTTACCAATGCTAGAACTGGTAATATAGTACTGTAATGTTGAGGCACTTTGAAGAGTACTGCATTTTCATAATAATATTCTCTTTGTTTAAGCTCATAGCTTCTATTTTTTTCATGCCTTTTTAGATGAAGTATTGCAGGAATTTAAACAGCTTTGAGGAATTTTCATTAATTGCATTAAGGCCTTATTAGCACTCTTTCATTATATATGCATCAATCACACCACATCCTTTTATGCTTTGTAATGTCTTAGTCCATTCTGACATGTTTTGAAAAACCATTTTAGTAATGATATGGAAATGTGTGTAACTTAGCATTAAGAAAAATCATCACGAGGACCTCTTACCCTTTGCAACAGTATGGATGAATCTGGAGAGTATTATGCTAAAAGCAAATAAGTCAGTCAGAGAAAGATAGATGCCATATTATCTCACTAATATGTGGAATCTAATGGACAAAACAAACTGACAAACAAAATGGAACGAGAAGTATGGGTACATGGAACAGACTGGCTGGAGCCTCAAGGTAGGGGCATTAGGTAAAGAAGGCTAAGAACCTATATGCAGCCTGGCTGGTGTGGCTAAGAGGTTGAGCATCAACCCATGAACTAAGAAGTCACTGGTTCAATTCCTGGTCAAAGCACACGCCCAGGTTGTGGGCTGGATCCCTAGTGGGGGGCATGTAGGAGGCAGCCAATCGATGATGTTTCTCTCTCTACCCTTCACCCTTCTTCTTTCTCTAAAATCAATAAAAAATATATTTTTAAAAAGAACATATATGCATAACCCATGAACACAAAAATAATATGGTGAAGGCCAAGAGAAGGGGAGTCAAGAGTGGGTGGAGGTGGTTAAGGGGGGTAAAATGTTTAATAACAAAAATGAAACTTAAAAAAGATGTCAATATAAATTAAAAATTTAGAGAAAGTATGCATGTTATAAAGCATATTTAATTTTCTTGCCATGATCTTGTTAACTACCTTAGTCATAACTCAGTTTCCTTGTGCAAGTATTCATCCTTCTTTTGGTGTATCAGCCACTTAATTTCTTTCTTTTATTTCCAGTACAATCAATAAGAGAAATACAGTTATCTTTCGTCATATAATAGCCAATATGAAAATCCAACTTACTCTATTGATTTCTTACTCTGTCACTTAAGCTATGTTTATGTCATACATATTTTACTTCTCAACTAAAATATGAGGTTCTGAGGACCTCCACTATTTATTTGTTTTATCCCTAGAAAAGAGCAGTGTCTGGAAGATGGAAAATAGTCAGTAGATGACGAATGTAAACTCCACAAGATAAAGGTTTTTTATTAAATTGCTTGATGTTGTATGCATTTTGAGGGCATAGCAGGAAAGAATACCTGCCACATACACTGTGCTTAATAAATATTTGTTGTAAGGATGAATAAATAAATGCTTCTATTAAATAAAGGAGAAGTGACCTAGTAGTTAAAAACTAAAGAAATGAGGTAAATTAAACTTAAAACGACAAAACTATGCATCATAGACATCTGGCATTTTGTGAATGAGTTATAAAATTGAACTAAGAAAATTGTTTTTAGGGATCCACATTGATCATGGAACCTGTCATGATCTCCAGGTACTCATCATATCTCATTGGGACTCTCATTCTAATTTCCCTACACTCATAATCTCTTTCAACTTCAATTCACAGTTCTCATTAAGCAAATCTGATACTTTAAAAATGGACTATAACATCCAAGAGACAAAAAAAAAATCATTGTAAAAAAAGGAGAGTATGCTAAATTAACACTTCGATTTTTGTTTTCTTTTATTTAAAAATAATAATGGCCCTGACTGGTTTGGCTCAGTGGATAGAGGGTCGGCCTGTGGACTTAAGGGTCCCAGGTTCGATTCCGGTCAAGGGCATGTACCTTGGTTGCGGGCATATACTCAGTAGGGGGTGTGCAGGAGGCAGCTGATCGATGTTTCTTTCTCATCCATGTTTCTACCTCTCTATCCCTCTCTCCTCCTCTCTGTAAAAAATCAATAAAATATATTTAGAAATAATAATAATAATGATATTAGGCTTTACTATTTTCTAGTGTGTGAATTGATACTCAATGCCCACCTTGGTTAAAGGACAGGTAGTTCCATTGCACATATGGCCAGGGGGAATTTTAGGAATTATGGGAATTCTATATGGCAGAATGGTTGACATTAGTACCCTCTCTCATAAGTCATAGTTTACATGTACCTGGTAAACGAGATTATGAATTATATAATGTTGTTTGAACTAAATATTATCAGCAAATGGACCAGGAGTGTTTTAAATATTGGACAAGGCAAATGCAAGTTTAATATGACACTTCCTATGCAAAAACAATGAACGATGAATAAATGACTTGCTCTGCCCATTATTAGTACATGTTCTTCAGCAGCCAGATTATCAATTTTTTTTAAAAAAGATGATCTAATCAATGGTGAAAAAAACTGTCATAATAGTTCAAAAATTTCAAGAAGTTTCTATTAAATATAGATTTATAAATACCTATGAGTTCACAAATAGAATATGCTGAAATACTAGAAAATGAAAGCATTATGCTCTAATCATTTGAACAGTAAATATACAAAATTTGAAGACATTCATAAATATTGAAAAAATATTGAAAATTATGCAATAATAATAAACTTCAATAAATTTCACTATATGTCTGATATTTTGCTGCCTGTGGATTATGTAATATTTTTATGATTTCCCCATCTTATGTTTAAGTTTTTTATCCATTTTGAGTTTATTTTTGTGTATGGTGTAAGTTGGTGGTCTAGTTTCATGTTTGTGCATGTATCTGTCCAATTTTCCCAACACTATTTATTGAAGAGACTGTCTTGACTCCATGGTATGTTCTTGCCTCCTTTGTCAAATATTAATTGGGCATAGTGGTTTGAGTTGATTTCTGGGTTCTCTATTCTATCTAATTGATCTATATGTCTGTTCTTGTGCCAGTACCAGGCAGTTTTGAGAACAGTGGCTTTGTAATACAGCTTGATATCTGGTATTGAGATCCATCCTACTTTGTTCTTTCTCAGGATTGTTGCAGCTATTCAGGGTCTTTTTTTATTCCAGATGAATTTTTGGAAAGTTTCTTCTAGGTCTGTAAAATATGCCATTGGTATTTTAATGGAGATTGCATTGAGTCTATAGATTGCTTTGGGTAGTGTGGACATTTTAATGATGTTGATTCTACCAGTCCATGAACATGGTATGTTCTTCCATCTGTTTATGTCTTTCTCTATCTCTTTTTAAAGTGTCCCGTAGTGTCTGAGTACAGGTCTTTTACCTCCTTAGTTAAGTTTATTCCTAGGTATCTTAATTTTTGTGGTGCAATGGTAAATGAGATTGCTCTTTTAGTCTCTCTTTCTGTAAGTTCACTATTGGTGTATAGAAATGCCATAGATTTCTTGGCATTAATTTTGTCTCCTGCTACATTGCTGAATTCATTTAGTAAATCTAATAATTTCTGATGGAGTCTTTAGAGTTTTCTATGTACAGTATCATGTCATCTGCGAATAATGACAGTTTTACGTCTTCTTTTCCAATTTGGATGCCTTTCATTTCTTCTTCTTGTCTAATTGCAATGGCTAGCACTTCCAGAACTATGTGGACATCCCTGTCTTGTTCTTGTTCTTGTTCTTAGGTGAAATGGTTTTAGTTTTTGTCCATTGAGTATGATGTTGGCTGTAGGTTTGTCATATAAGGGTTTTATTATGTTGAGCTATGATCCCTCTATTCCCATTTTTCTGAGGGTTTTTATCAAGAAAGGGTGTTGGATTTTGTCTAATGTGTTTTCTGCATCAATTGATATGACTATGTGATTGTTATCTCTCAATTCGTTTATGTGATGTGTCATGTTTATTGATTTGCAGATATTGTACCATCCTTGCATCCCTGGGATAAATCCTACTTGGTCATGGTATGTGATCTTTCTGGTGTACTGCTGGATTTGATTTCTAGAATTTTGTTGAGGATTTTGGCATCTATGTTCATGAGGGATATTGACATATGCCAAAGCAATTTCTTCACTGATACAGCTCCTAGGGCAATGGAAACTAAAGAGAAAATAAACAAATGGGATGACATCAAAATAAAAAGCTTTTGCACAGCAAAGGGAACCATCAACAAAACAACAAGAAAGCCCACTGCATGGGAGAACATATTTGCCAATGTTATCACCAATAAGGGTTTAATCTCCAACATTTATAGGGAACTTATACAACTTAACAAAAGAAAGATAAACAACCCAATCAAAAATGGGCAACCAACCTAAATAGATACTTTTTGAAAGAAGACAGGAGGAAGGCCAAGAGACAGATGAAAACATGCTAAAAGTCACTGATCATTTGAGAGATGCAATTCAAAATGATGTACCATCTCACATCTGTCAGAATGGCTATCATCAACAAATCAACAAAGGACAAGTGCTAGCGAGGATGTGGAGAAAAAGGAACCCTGTGCATTGCTGGTGGGAATGCAGACTGGTGCAGCCACTGTGGAGAATAGTATGGAGTTTCCTCAAAAAACTAAAAATGGAACTTCCATTTGACCCAGAGATCCCACTTCTGGGAATTTATCCCAAGAAACTAGAAACACCAATCAGAAAGGATATATGCACCCCTATGTTCATTGCAGCACAATTTACCATAGCTAAGATTTGGAAACAGCCTAAGTGCCCATCAGCAGATGAATGGATTAAAAAACTGTAGTACATCTACACAATGGAATATTACGTTGTGGTAAAAAAGAAGGAATTCTTACCATTTGCAACAGCATGAATGGAACTGGAGATCATTATGCTAAGTGAAATAAGACAGAGAAAGATAAATATCACATGATCTCATTCATTTGTGGAATATAATGATCAACAGAAACTGATGAGCAAAAACAGATCCAGAGACAGAGAAGCATTGATCAGACCATCAAACTTCAGAGGGAAGGTAGGGGAGGGTGGGGATAAGGGGAAGAGTTCAACCAAAGGACTTTTATGCATGCATATAAGCATAACCAATGGACACAGACCCCAGGGGTGTGAGGGCATGAGTGGGGGGTGGGAGGTAATGGGGGGATAAGGACACATATGTAATACTTTAATCAATAAAGAAAATAAATAAATAAATAAATAAATAAATAATTTTCACTATAAAATCTTTTAAGGTTTCTTAATAGAAAACAAAAACAAAAAAGCTACTGTTATTAAAGAAATACTGTTTCTCCGTTGTTTAAAAAAAATCTGTAATTTACAATGTGGCTACCATTGAACCACATGCATTGCTTAGTATATATTTGTAGAAAACAAAAGGAAATGCTGAATATTTAAAGAAATATTTATATAACTAAAACAGTTGAAAAGTACAAATATTTTTATTTCAATAGTGAAATACAAAACAAACAAACAACAACAAAAGAACACACTTTGTGAGAATTACTGTAAGGACTATATACCGCAGAGGATATTTTCTCATGTAACCATCAAAGTTGTTGCTGTGATTGGAATATTTT